CCCTCCTCCACCCCCATCACCCTCCTCCACCCCCATCACCGCCAGCCTGCAGGGCTGGGCTTAGCAGCAATTACATTTGGTAAAATCTTGTCAAGGGTGCAGCGTCATTAAAACCATGGAGGTTTTGGTTCCAGGTTTGGCTGCTCGGCACAGATGCTTTACTCAGTAGTCTGCAGAATCACCCCACATGGAGCCGACCTCTGTGGGAAACAATACTCGCATTTGAGCTGTTGTTTATAAGTTTGGATTCCCCCCACCCCCCCATAACTTCTGACAGTCAGATAAGTCAATTCCTCATTTGAACAAGCAAATGCTACAAGTGCTCCTCAGTAAACACATTGTACCATTTCTGTCTCTTATGTTTTACAGTTTTCCTGCCATGCGTTTCATAAACATGTTTGTTTTTGAAATAAAATCGCACAGCATCATTAGCAACATAAGAAATGTACCACTTCTGTTTTGATTTAATCACAGTAAGTATAGTGTAGATTAATTGATGTAATAAATGATTAATAGCAGGGTGTGTGTCACAAAATTAGCATTAATGGAATTACGTCACCAGGATGATTAATTGAAAACTAGATTAAGTTGGTATTAGGTGCATGGCAAAAAAAATTACTAAGTACAGAAACATGTCCTGTATTAAAATTGGTGAGGATGAAGCAGAGTAAGCTCTACATTTAACGTAATAGTTTGTCTGTGGTTACAGTGGCCAGGTGATGACAGTTATTAGAAAAATCCACAGGGAAAAAACAGCGAGAAGACAGTTTTTTGAACTTGATACAGCAACCCCAAAGTATTAACAGGTTCTTTGACTTGACATACTGATATACTGTAAATACAGACAGGATCAGTTTTGAGTGACAGGCTTTTGAAATAACTGTGATACTAAGTTTTTCATCTGAAATGTATTATGGTATGATATCTGTTTATTTTGGATCTGCTGAAAAGTTGCTCAGCGGGTTCTCTCACAAAAAACGTGGGCTGTTCATTGTGAAAAAGTTGGCAAAGCAATCACTTTGTTTTCAGTAGTCTTTGGTAGTGCTGATGGGGTACAGAGTTCAAACATAGACAAAAAGCAGGCAGCGACAAGGAACTCTACTCCATGTGGAAAATTAAAGTGTCAGACAAGGAAAAATCTATGCATAGCCTATACACAAGTCAACACCCACGCAAATTTTTTTCTCTCCCTCTCTCTGTGTTTTCTTTTTTTTTTCTCAATGAAAGTCTTTCACACAGAAGACACACATCTCCGGAGCGGTCGCGAGCCCCCCGACTCGATGACGGCTAAAGTTCATCTCATTAACTCCTGACAAGCCCGCGCCTGCTCTCTCTGGCACAGGAAGTTGAGTGATTAAGAACTCCTGACGCAATAGAAGCTACAGTCCCCTTTCAAGAAAAAAGAAAAAAGAAGAGCTACACATTCAAATCTATCTGGACACACACTCACATACACACAAAAAAATGCACCCCTGAGTCCACGTTGACAAATTCTTTAACAAGCTGTGGTTAAAGGGAAGCTGGTTTTACTCTGACTCACCCCCCTCCTTTCAAACAGTTTACTGGAAATAAAGAGGGAGGAGGAGGGAGGGGGCACTTTCAGAGAAGTCACGTGACGGGGCCGGGCAAACCACAGCACAGAGAGCCTTTGAGTGCAGTAGGCCAGGGGGGAAGGCAGGCATACGCCCAGCGCAGATGGCCCTGATTTGAGTTACAGGAGATACGATCCTGGGAGTTGGCAATCAAGAATTCACAGCCTGTTAACCCCTTCCGTGCCGGATGAAAAAAAAAAAAAAGCCAGGAAATAACTTCATTATCAAGTTACAAGCAATCATGGACTCGATCCATGCAGGATCCTCTGGGACAGTCTGTGTCGATACTGAGGATTCCTCTCCAGCACACGAGTGCTCTTGTACTGAGCTAAAGATTTAAGAGGGGAAAAAAAAGCTGATCTTCATGACATCAGCGTCTGGAGCCGTTAGAAAAGGCATGACTTCATTAGTCTTGAATAGCTCTGTTGAATGAATGAAAAAAAACCCAGAATACTGTGCTGCTGTGCATCACGTGCACTTGTGGCAGGAAGTTGGCACATGCAGGCTGGGAGAAATACCACTGGGTTTAAGTCAAACTTCTGGCACCTACAAACCTCTGTGACTAGAGCGAAGGGGACGAAGTCAGCATCTTAATCCGGCTCTGCTGCCACAGGGTGGAGTGTGTGTGGGAGAGAGTCTGACCGTGTGTGTGTGGGCAGGGGGGATAGGGTTGAAGGGGTGTCACATCCTTGAGGACAAAAGTTAACCACTTCCTGTCTAATACACAACGATCCAACGATATCAAAGTTTCTCCAGTCCATTCCCAGTGGAGTCTGTTTCCACTTTGGCCTACTACTATTGATTGTAAGCTTTCAATGAAAAACTCTGACACAAATCCACAGCAGATTAATGCCTCCGTGTCCACCTTAAAAGATGGAAAAAGGGTAAAAGGGGGAAAAGTTAAAATCAGAGAGGTCATGCGGGATCTCCTTGAGCGAAAGAGGGAACCCTGAGAACATCCGAGTAACGGTAAAAGCTGTGGCGAGAGAAAAAATGTTTCCGTATGTGGCAGGTCCTCGCTGGTGCTAGCAACCTGCCTCCAGATGCTGTCCAATCACATGAGCACACATTATATACATACACACGGCTGCCAGATACATCAGAGAGAGAGAGAGAGAGA